GACGTCTGGATCTTAAGTTTAGAGCTGCCCCCAAATGGTCGACTATAGTCGTATCACGTTTCTAAAATTATTATTTATATATATAATGAAGAGCATTTAAATGCTAACAGAAACAGCAGTATTGATTGTGAATCAGAACAAGCAGAAAGGAGACTGAACATTTAGTTTATTCCAACCCAGTGTAACATCACACAGTCTGGTTGTTCAACACAGAATAAATAACTTCACTGAAACTGATCCTGACTGATCGATACGATGGATGATGGATAACGTTAACAGTTACTGATTAATTAACTGGCTCCTCTTCCTCCATTTCATTCCTCTTTTGTCGCTGCCTGAACCCGCTAAGTCTTCATCCCCAGAGTCAGAGTCTGTGTTGCAACAATCCTTTTAATACTTAGGGAGGGTCAATTGCTAGCTAACCCACTCTTTAGCTGTTGGTCGGCATGCTGCTCAAACTCCACTCTCTGGTTTGGCTGCTAACGGCACCGAAGTGAAAAGACTCCCAGCCGTCTGTTCAAACTCAACTAAAGTTTTTAAATTATAACATTTATTGTAAAGGCATTTGAAAACTATATTTTCAACATTTACCAGGTTCGACAGGATCTTCCGGATGTATTGGCACAAGCGCTTAAAAAGTTTTATAGTCTTAATATTAGAAGCAAGATTAATAGTGAGGTGATACCGCAGTAGTGACAGCTTGTTTACTCCGGCCCAGATTTGGCTATATGTCCCGAATACCTTCTTGTTTTTTGGGGCTCTGGAGTTTTGGTAGTAATCAGCAGCAAATATTCGAAGCCTATTTGCGTCCGACCCGTGTTATTTATGGCCAAGAAATCTGTTTTCTGGAGGGAAAATCAGAGTTTTAAAGGTCTGGTTACCACAGAAAGGCAACAGTAACCTTCACTGCATTGGCCCCCAAAGAAATGTACCTCAGTATAATGAAGCTGATATTTAAATGTCTTTTCTATTGATATATTTCGTAGCACTTCATTATGTCTGTTGGCAGTCATGTTGTGTAGAGACATCACATTACAGGGAAGACAAAGTCAGATTAGCTTCTATTTTTCCGCAACAGTTCTCGGCTGCATTGATGGACGCTCTTCCGACTACAGATTGGTGGGGGGCGTTGAGGGAGTACAGTGTGCTTCTGATGATGTTTCGTTTGAAGTCTTGTGATGTGAAGGTAATAGCTGTAGCAGATCTCCAGGGTGAGGACAGTGGACGTCCAGACGAGGCTGTTAGCTGTTTGCTGAAGGCAGTGGTGCATGGCTGCTGCTTCTGCTACTGCCGGCTGGTCGGTCATTTCACGCCTGTCTGGGCTTCCTGGAGCGCGCTGTGAAAAGCAAAGTGGATGAAAAACTCTGTCTGGGGAGAACAGGCTCAGTTTGATGTGTTTTCAGTGTCCAATTGCCAAAACCTGGAGTGAAAATTGACAGGAGGACTCGTTTTTGTGACGCTTTTTGGAGCTAGTTATGATTAAGCTCCAATATGTGTTAGACTGATATGGAGCAGGATGCAGTGTGACCGGTTACACAGTCCTATAGGGTTCATTGGAGGGTCTTGAACTCCACAAAGGTCAGCTGATGTGCATAGAAGGTAAACAACGTCACCAGCAGGTCTATTTAATATCTCTTTTGGTGCTTTCGAACTTCCTGAACATGGCAGTGGTTTTCTCTAGAGCTCCTTAAAGACTTGCAGCTGCAACGTGAAGATCATGCAATACACTCAAAAGCTCCAGCTATATGGAAGTTGTTTACGAGGCACATCCTGAGACAAATAAAGCAATGCTGTCAACTCAACTGTCAAAATCATGACTTAGTATCTTAAAATAATCATTTAGTATTAGTGTTGGCGATTGGACGGATATATCGGCGTTTTCTTTTTGTGGTACGAGTCAGAGGAAAACCGTGTATTTTCACATCTAACTGCAGTGAATTAAGGGTTTGATGACAGGGAATATAGTTAGAAGGTGATTCACAGAGGCTCCAAACAAAACTCTGACTCTGGGGAAGATGAGGACACTGCAGGGACAGGAGAGGGACCGGAAGCAGGTAGAGGAGCGAGGGAGGTCAGGGGCATCAGTGAGGCTGCGACAGCGTAGAGACAGAATGTTTTCTGTTAGATGGTTAGACAGCAGAGTTGGTGATTGTTGTAACAGTGTAAAGACTAATAAAGAGACTTTATTAGTTCAGTTGTCGAGTTTGAATGAAAGTGTGTTTTAAGATCACTTAACAAGGTCTTAGTTCAGTATCAGACAGAAACTTGAATGTCAAAGCTGTACGGTTGTATTTTTCTGTTTTAATTCTTTCTTGGCTTTTGGTGAGTTTATTTTCTTTATTAAGTGTAAACCTGTTTAGGAGCTTGTGATATGTAGTGAAGCTTGGCCGCTCATCTCCCAGCTGCAACTACTGAAGGATGTTTGGGGGGGGGGGGGGTCGCAGCGTCGTTTAGCACACCACACGTGGCAACAATATCGCAATCCATAGATTGTTGGATGACATACATTTAACATATCGCCCAACCCTACTTAAAATAATAACTTAGTATCTCATTATGACTTACAGGATCCTATTTTGTTTCATCATGTTGGCAGAAATGTGATTCCACGTTTGCTTTGGATCATCTGTGTGTATTTCCCTGGTTTCATACATGTGCTTCCACTTAACACACACTCGTTCTGTAATTGTCCTCTTTTTCACGTTTGCTCTGATCTGCTTCCTCTGTGGTTTTCTATTAGTCTCCTGCTGCTGCATCGACCTGTTCCCCCCACAGAGATCAATAAAGTTTAATCTAACGTAGTCCAATCTAACCTGAACACTGTTTAGTTTCCTGTGTGTCGTCATGGTTCTGATTGTGTTGGTTTCCTCGTTTTTGTTGTTGTTTCCTGTCCAGGCGATGGCTCAGCAGGCGACGGCGGGGAGGCGCTACCTGCGGGCGTTCGTTAGCGGCTTCTTCGTTGCCGTTCCGGTCACCGTCACCGTCCTGGATCGAATTGCCTACGTGGCGCGAGTGGAGGGAGCGTCGATGCAGGTGAGATGTTACAACACATCCAGCAATCAGAGTGACAGAGGAACCGCCACGCCGTCTGTCCTCAGAGACGCCCCCAAGGTCAACAGGAGAGCTGGCTGCAGTTTCTAGATGTCTTAACTTTGCAAACTGCTGATAACAAAGAGGTCAGAGGTCACAGCATCCTGACAACATGTTGAGTTGTGGGAAATCGGAGGCTGAAAAGCTGTTTTTGTGTCCTTAAAGATCAACTCTGAGTCATCTTCATCATCAAGTGTATGAAGATATTCTCTATTTATGTTTTATGTAGGCAGGCTGCTCTCTTGTGCATTATTAGCTAATGATCCTAGGTTGTCTAGTAGCATTATGTAGCTAACCTATTAGCTAAAGCCTTCTTTCAAAATCATAAGATCTCTGTACAGTTCTCACTTCGCCACTTTCAGTCTTTTATCGGGGGTCTTGATGTCGATGTGGTTTTCAGTCTGTCAGGTCTCAACGTTGCCTTCTGTTCTTGTTTTTAAGCTACTTTCCAAAGTATATTGTGCTTAATGCTGTTATTAAAATAGATTTAAATGTATTTTGTGTGTTTGTCGGTATCTGAGGAGTTTTTTTGTCTGTTACCATAGTAACTACCTGGTTACTGCTTCCTGTCTGGTGCTGGAGAGAGACTGCTCTCATTGGCTGTAGCTCGTTGCGTTGCGTCCAAACATGAAGGCGGGCCAAGCGAGTCAGGAGTGAGACCGAGTCGGCTGCGTGAAACAAAAGTAATACATTGCTAATAAACGTTTTAGCGCCGGCTGTGGTTAACGGTTATCTGCGTTATCGCCGCACACACAGCCGCAGCTACAGGTAACCACGCTGGAGAAGAACTCAGCTCCACAAACACTCCACATGGCCTCTTTTATTCTCACCCAGACAGTAAACAACCTTCACTCCTCTCTTCTGAGCAGCAGAGATGTGAAAAGAAAAACAAAAAAAAACAAGCCTGTTGGGTTTTGACCGAGTTGGTTTCCTGTCGTGCCGCTTATTATCCCAGACGTGTGTTGCATTATGCATTAAACAATCTGCTCTCTATTTTTAATGAGCATGAATATTAAAACTGCATGTTGCTCTTTGGTTGGTGTTGTATATTCATGTTGCTGCGTACGTCGGGTCATGAAGGCGACCTCGGCGAACGCTTCTGAAGAGTTTGAGACTGATGAAAACTTTGAAAATTGTTAATAAAATAAAGAAACAGAGGTTGTTTTTTAAAAGATGGAACTTGTTTGTCGAATGAGATGTTTGCACTGTAACGCAGCTCCTGGGTTCTCTCTGGTTTTATCCTGGTTAATCGGTTTATGTGGAGCTTTGATCCCTTGTGATTTAGGCTGTCTGCATAGAGAAACAATATTCACGTCCACAGTGAGAAAAAATATTTTTTCTCTGTCTGACTTGACAAGTATGGGAAGCCAAACACTTTAGGGGACTTTTGCTGCTCCTGAGGTCCACCACCAGCTCCTTGGTTTTCCCAATGTTGAGCTGTAGTTGGTTTCTGTCACACGATCCTATGAAGTTCTCAATCAGGTCTCTGAGATACAGCCGACAATGGAGGAGAACATCGGAGAACTTGTAGGTTGCAGGCTCCCGAGGTAAAGCAGAAGTCAGAGGTG